TCGCGATGCGTTTTGAGGCAGTGGAAAAAGGATCATGTTCGTTTCACTTGTGTGTACCCGTTGATGGTTGAGAGCTGGGACTCTCCACGAATCTTTGAAAAGACCAAACTGAGATCGCGGTAGGTAGCGATGTATCGTTCGATTGTTATCATTATTTATTTTGGAGACGTATTGCTCTGCGCCGCGGACTTCATCGGCTTCGGCATGGGCTCATCTGGTGTAACCATTCGCCTAGCCTCAGCCCGCAGTTCAACCGTTGTATCCTTTCTGCTTGATCATAGTCGTGCAAGGAAATGCATCACGCTCGAAAAATATGAAAGGACGGTGGAGGCGAGAGAGTATCTCGCAGCAAGCAGCCTGGAACTCGGATTCGGCATCTTTTGTACTCTATGAGGGAAAGCCGCGGGGGGTTCAAGGAGGATGGTACGAATAGCCATAAGCGGATTCCGAAGATCCAAAGAGGTCTTCACCAATTGTCGTTAGTTTTAGATACTGGTGTTAAAAGAACCACACGTAGTAGAGATGTAGGACCAATGGGACGGTCGATCGAAGGGTGATTTGAAAGGTGAGTAGAGGTGAGAGAAGGAGCAAGCCACAAGTGTATCTCGTACTTGTGCCTGTAGTTTCTCACGTGATGCCGCCGAGGCTTTTGCACCCCCAGAGTTTGCGGGCGTCGACAGGTCGCTGTGGCTGTCGCCGACTTCTCCGCTCGTCCACTCATTTCAAACTTAATTACATGGCTTTCCGTAATTTATAGGATATATTCTTGCCTATATCTGTCGAGCGCATGCCTGCCATCCCTACCTTGTGGATGGACTCATCTAAATGGCACCAGGAGCCATTAGATTGGGCTTCTCACGCCTACCAACTGCTTGCCCCTCAAATTAACGTCAAAGGTCGCATGGCTCTACTTTTGCTGCTCGCCGTCATCTGGGCTTTCTCATGGTAGGCCTTGCTTTGATCTTTTGCCGCGATCACCGCTAATCCTGTAGGCTGCTATGGCGCGCGTATCAGGTCCTCACCACACCGAACGAGATTCTGGTAGAGAAACTCGGCCTGGACATTCCCCCCACTCCGCTCCTCATCCTCGAAGAAATATCCCCTACCGAAGTCTATGTGACGTGGAAACATGCGGAACCATCTTCTTCCATTCAAGAACACTACGTGGAGCTCAATGGCGTCCTTATTGGGACCACCAAGAAGAGTGAGATGGGTGCTATCATATCTGGCCTTCGCCCTGGGACCAAATACGCCATCCGCGTCTTCTGTGTCAGTACTGGCACCTTCCAGACTCCGAGCGCCCCTTTTCATGTGCGCACGCCTCATCTACCAGCGGGCAAGGAGGCTCCCGAATCAGTTCCCGCGGTGAGAGGGGTGTCGGTGCGAAATGCTCCCACTGCCACCCCTTTAGCTGCGCCCTCCATGACTCGCGATCTTAGCGGAGGACAGCCCATGGGTAGAAGAGGGACCACCGGTCGTAGACCTTCCCCGGCTGGTCATGGCACTGATGCACAGGCTCAAGACGCAGGATCGAGAGTCGAAGACGAAGAGGTGGACGGTGATCTCGCGGAGTTGTCACAGCGGTTCCAAAAAGTTCAACAAGACATTGAGGCTGTTGAGGCTCAGATACAGGAGGAGGACAGAGAATTTGAAGCTGCTTTGAAGGAACTGGAAGCGCGGCGTGACGAGTTGAAACAGAGTCTCAAAGAGCGGGATGAAGCCAGCAGCGACCTTCGTAAGCAGGTCCACAAGGCAGAGACACTCAGTCGCACGGCTCAAAACGAAAAGACCAAGAAAGAACGCTTGTTGCAGCAAAAGGAAAACCAGCGCAGGAAGAGGAAGGACGACATTTCGAGATGGGAGGAGGCCACCGCTGCCATGAAGGAGGAAATTGCGGGCATTGAGAAACAGAAAGCTGCAATTGAACGCAGGACTCAGTCTGAGCTCCGGGAAATGCGCAGGAAAATCGAAGAGGAACAAAAGGAGGTCGCCATGCTGGAGGATGACAACAAGGAGAAAGCACTGCAGATCAAAGCGCTGGAAGAGGAACGCCAATTGCAGAACGTGGATGAGGAGACGGAAGAATCTAGAGAAGCCGACCGTCTCGACCGTGAGCGCGATATGAGATGGCGGGCAAGATACGAAGGCTTGCAGCAAACCTTCACCCGGCTATGGAACGACCTACAATTGGCCAATCAGCAAGTTAACTATACCAGGGAACAAATCAATCAACTCGAGGCAAGACGGGCAAATTCCATGGCATTCGCGCCTATTGCGCCGTTGGATCTGGATGCCATTCGTCGTGGCATGAGGCCCATGCGACGAGCGAGACCGGCAGGCTCGTTGGGGAGCAGTATCTCGTCGCCGCGAGGCCCGTTTGCTGGACCGGAACCTTTCCCGGCGGGATTGCAGTATACCTCTGCTCCCACCTCATCTCCCACAGCAGCTGTTCCAAGTTATTTCAACCCGCAGAATGGGATGACACTGGCGATGCCTGTAGAGACGACAGCCTCAACTCACGATGACATTGACGCCATATCTTCGATCCCCATGAGTCCTCGCGCAGACTCACTCTTGCCAGCTGATCTGCTCGGTGACGAGTCTGCCGATGAGCTTCCCGACACCGAAATTCCGCGACGGAAAGAAAAATCCGAGACAGGAATGACTCCCTTTCCCACGATAGGGTCGCCCATACTGCATGCTGATAGCGGCCGGACAGAATCTCCTAGTGTTGGCTCCTCGTCTGGCAGGTCGTTCTCCAGTCCTTTACAAATTTCTGCGCCCGCGGAAGGTGATGAGAAGTCTTCAAATTCCGGAAAAAAGTCGGACAACGCACCAGAAGAAGATGAGGTGGTTCAGCAACCCAAGAAACCCAAGTACACGTCAATGTCATCCATGTTTGGGCTCAATCGTCAGCGAGGCAAGACTCTAGCTGATCAACCACCCCCTCTCGGATCTCTCAAACCGAGCCAGAGTCAGTCATTTCCAAGGAATGTGGAAGATTTTGATCCGCGACTAGAAACCAAAAGGCGACTAAGCTATGGCGGAAACTGGGCATTTCCAGGATCGGCCCTTTTAAACAGCAGCAGCGCTCAGGAGGAAAAAGAGCCTTCAGTTTCTCGCTTTGCGGCGACGAGGCGTGCCTTTGGATTAGGCGGCTTTGGAAAGTCGGCTGCAGCTTCAGCGAACTACGACCCGTTCGCCATGAGGTCTGCATCCTTCGATCCAGGACTTCGAGGCGAGACTTCCTCCCCAAGGCCGTCATCCACCTACTCTTTTGACAAACTGCCACGGCCGTCGATGGAAAGTCAGTTTCGTGCGTGGAACGACAAATCGGTGCTGCGAAATAGTCCGTTGGCTCCAGACTGGGGTTCGCTCCATTCATTTTCTCGTTCGCACTCACGGCGGCCTTCGATCGTGTACGGATCGACCAGCAACCTCTCGCTTCCACATGGAGACGAGGAAGTTGTCGAGCCAGATCGCAAACCCACACGTCCTCTACAGGCGCCCATTGGCACCCGGCCGGCATCCTCCCAGCAGTCCTCGACTCCAAAGCTGAATCCGGCGGCTCCGTCATTCACGACACTGTTCGGCAGGCGCAGCGAGAAATCCAAAGACAAGGACAAGAACAAGGCGAAAGAGTCAAAGGAGAGGGTGAACGACATGGAAGCCGCCTCCCCCCCGGAGTCTCGAAAGTCCAAGGACACCAACTCCATCGCAGCAACTGTGTCTACCCTCGAGTCTGAGACGCTCGATCGAACACAGTCCGGGGCCAGCGCTCAGTTGTCCCTTGAGAATACACCAGCGAAGCCGACGTTTATCTCCAAGATCACGCGCAAGGCAAGCAGCAATAAATTTGGCAGCTGGAAAGACAAGGGTAGCTTGTTCTCCCGAAAGGAAGCATCTGTTCCTAACGGCGAAAACGAAGAGGAACAAGGGTCAAGCGAACACCTAGGGAGGAGTTTAGAGAGCACATCGACAACGCCCAGCGCCGAGGACAAGAAAACGAGCAGAACTAGTCTGAGCAACTGGAGCTTTATGCGCAAGAACAAGAAGGGGCTGAAGGAGGATCTGACCGCCAGCGAGATTAGTGAGAGCAGTGAGCGGTTAAGTGAGGCAGAGGAGATGGGCGAGGAGAGGGATGAGGATGAATAGGCAGAGCAGGCATACGAGGCATGAGGAGGAGACCTTTTATACATGATTCGCATATCAGTTTAGTATTGAAGTTGGTCAAGCCGGTTCTTTGAGGGGGTCGCATTATATGCCAGTGACTCATTCTAGTCTTTAAACACGACTCACTCACTCACTCCACCATTAACCGTATTTCTTTCCTGTTTCGGATTTTTAGTTAATTCCTCTCTCTTCTTGCTGGTCAAGTCGATAAATGCTGAACGTGCTGAACCGACGCGCCTTTTGTCTCTTCTTATTCTCCAATGGCCAATTCAAAGTTTGTCCCACCCCCGCGCTGACGTCTGGCTATCGTGTCATGGACTAATTGATGGGATTGTCGTTCTCGGTCTAGGTATGAATACGTGCGTAGCTTCGAACGCGAGGAGACGTTGTTGCCCAACACGTGGATCGTGGTGAGGATCGATGGGCGGGGATTTCATAAGTACGTGTTGTCTCTCTTTCTCTGTCTCTGTCTGTTTGTCTGGGGTTTTGGGATGATGGTGGATGGGAGGGAAAGAAAAAGGATGAAAAAATATCAACATCAACATCAACATCAGCATTGGAGGAGTTAACTCCGTCCCATCCATTTCCAGGCCAATGTGTTTTTGAACTCCCTCTACAAGATCTTGTCTATTCTCTTCTATTCCGTTTCTGGTCCTCTTTTTCTTGTTGGAGGAGGCTCTCTGTCTCTACCTATCCATCCCTCCCACAAATCCCCCCCCTTCCTCAAACTCCCCCCTCCTGGCAAAATTAACCAAGCCATCTGTCGAGCCAGACTGTCCGCCTTCTACGACTTCCGCAAACCCAACGACCCGCGCGCGCTGCGCCTCATGAACCACGCGGCCAGCCACGTCGTGACGGCGATGCCCGAAATCGCCGTCGCCTACGGTGTCTCGGACGAGTTCAGCTTCGTGTTTGACCGCGCCACGACGCTGTTTGAGCGGCGGCGGGACAAGCTCGTGTCCACGGTCGTCAGCACCTTCACGGCCGCGTATGTGGCCGGGTGGGATTTGTTTTTTTGTGATGATGATCCCCAAGGGGACGATGCTGGTGCTGGTGCCGGTGCCAGTGACGGTGACGGTGCGATAGCACGGAAAAAGTTGACGATGGACATGTTGCCCACATTTGATGGTCGGGCTGTCTGTTATCCCTCCTGGGCCAATCTGAGAGATTATCTGAGTTGGAGGCAGGTTGATTGTAAGATCAGACTCATACAAACACCCTTTCCTTCTCTCTCTCCCTCGATTGTTCCATTCCCTTTAGCATCGCTCTCTTTTTTTTTTTTTGTTCCAACCAAAATTAGTCAACCTGTCTCCCCGTTTTTTTTTTCTTATGTCATACGTATGTACATACTGACTGGACAAGTCAGGCCACATCAACAACCTCTACAACACGACCTTCTGGGCCCTGGTCCAGCAAGGCGGCATGACCCACACCGCGGCCGAGGAGCTCCTCAAGGGCACCCTAGCCAGCGACAAGAACGAGATCCTGTGGTCGCGCTTTGGCATCAACTACAACAACGAGCCCGAGATGTACAGGAAGGGTAGCGTCGTGTTTCGCGAGTATCGAGTCGAGGACCTTCCAGGGTCTCATCAGAAGGGTAGAGGAAGGGGAGGGGGCCAGCGACAGCGACAGCGGAAGCGGAAGCAGGGACAGGAAAAGAAACAAGAGGACCAGCGAAACCGGGAATTGGACCGAAAGCAGGACCACGAGCATGAGGACGACGACGACGAAGACACTCAACAATCCGCGGTCCCCGAACCTGCCCTCTCCAAAACCCAAGCTGAGAGGTTGCGCAAGGCGAAGAAAAAGGCCACAGTGGTCACGAGCCACGTCGACATCATCCGCGACGAATTTTGGGTTCGCAGGCCGTGGATCAGGAGTGGAAGGCCGGGGAGGGAGGTTGGTGGTGGGGAAGATGACAATAAAGAAGAAGGGGCAGAAGAAGACAGGAAAGAAGGGGAAGGAGGAGGAGGTGGGGGAAAAGAACAACAACAACAAGGGGATACCAAATCGTGAGGATGGAAGCGTCCTTCACAGCATCCATTCGTCGAATTTCTGGCATTGGTATATTCGCATAACAAGTGACATGATGAGGCAGTACTCAGACCAATTGCATCCTTGGTTTTAATTCCACATCTGATAATATGGTGCACTGATAATAGCTAAAACCCTTTTTGTCTCCTTTCCAATCTCCGTCGTCCTCCTTCAAGGCCGCCTTGCAGCAGGTCCAATATGCATGCCATCGTCTCCACTCCACCAAATACATCTTCACTCATCCCCCTGACGACGATCGATCGGATCCATCCACTCATCCAGTCATGCACGAGCCATTGACATCAACTTTGGTGATCCATTCCCGCCGACAAGGAGCCAAAACGTATGGTCTTAACACCCAAATTGTGGGCAAAAGAACACGAGGAGCAAACACCAACCATCCCTTCGGGGCATCCCTTCGGGGCATCCCTTCGGGGCATCCCTTCGGGGCATCCCTTCGGAGAAGGTCTGATGTATGGCTTTGAGCGTCAGAAACTCGCTGACCTTCGGCTCACTTTGTCACTTTCTCGGTACTGCAGTTCTGACATCGGTTATGCTGGCATTTCGGACAGTTGTTCGTTCTGATCGAAATCGGATTGTGGCCGCATCGGTGCTGTATTTCCATCATCAACAACGCCCTCTAAAAATCGATCAGATTGCCTGGGTCATCCAAATGCCGCGGACGGGCAGACAGGCATTCTTTGCTCGGGTGGGGGAGAGAAGGGGGAGATAAATACGCATGTCCAGACAAACACTGTCACTTTCTTCTTTCCCTTTGATGGAGGACATCTGTAGATGGGGAGATTAGCAAAGATAGGTAGAGAAGCTGGATGATCACCGGCCGACTTCATTGATGAGCAGGTTTCGTGTGTAGGGTCTGTGAAGGTGAATGAATGCCTGAGGAAAACATGCTGAAATCGACGAAGCGGCGATCATTGTAAAACCTTGAGACCAAGTCGATGTCCGGTTTTGCTTCTATTTTTTCGCATTTTTTTGCTGAGCTGGTCTTGTGCGCATCAACGGAGCCACATGGACACACCGTACCCACTAACCAGAAAGCTCTTCTTACTCTAACTCTTCCTCTTCTCTTACTCGCTTCCTTCGCTCATGGTTACCGTATTGGAGCTCTCCTATCGGGCATGAAGCTCAGTGTAAATGATTGGACTGGATTGGTGGAAAGGGGCGGTCAGACACAAAACTAGGTAGAAAGTCCCGTGCAGCACAGGAGCCAGGAGAAGAGAGTAACGTCGCTTGATACGAGTAGAATTGAAGTGTTAGAAGTAGGTATAACACAAGTGCAGAAAGTGTAATCAGTAGATTTAAGTCTGGGGCTGTTGGAAATTGTTACACCTCATATAGTCTGTGAAACAGGACGAGGTGTAGCCGTATAAACGCTCCTTTGTCGTCTCGGTGAGTCCCATGGTCATCCCCGCATGATGCTGTGTCCCGCAGTCAGAGCTGATGAGGACGAGCGGTGAAGCGGTCGCAAGGCTGAGATGAATCCGGAATTCGGACCCTTTTTCAGTTAGCCGGTCCTCTTTCTTGCAGAATAAGTGGTCGTGAAGGAGACACAGTGTCTCACTCACATCGAGAACGCAGGAGGAGGAGGGAAGGGGGAGGGGTCGGAAACTTTATACATATGCCACCAGAGGAAGGGGCTTCCAGTGCTCTGGAATGCGAGCCATGCACTCAACTGGAGCTGGAGGCCAACTCGTGGACAGAAATATCGCCCTGGGTAAGTGTTGTTTCTGGAAGGTAAGAAGTCACGGATGGTTGGGACATTTGATATATATGTCAGGTTATGGAAGGGAGATATGGAAAGAAGAACCGAAGCCAGGCTGCCTTGCGTCGAAGGCAACAACCTCTTGGATTGGTCCATGTGGAACTGTGAAACAGAACTAGGCAGTCATGAGATTTCTTCATTTGTTTGTGAGGAAATCAGGGTTTGTTCCTCTATACATATAGTTCTAGAAGAAGCCCTCGAGGTGGTGTGTTCACCCTGGGGAGATTGAAATGAAGTCTCATTGAGGACGTCTCTCCGCCACCAAAGGGATGTCCCCTCAAGATATACCTCCGGAATCTACTGCTTTTGTCCATGTGACCAAGTTGGATGCTGCCTGTTATTGTTTGCCTTGCGGCTCACACAACGCAGGCGACTCATTGGTGGTGGGAAAAAGAAATGACAGCCTAGCTGTGGTGTGGAGTCGCCAGCGAATCCCTCGAGGTCTTGGGATTGGGGGTGCGAGCCGGGGAGGCACGGAGGGTAGTACTGCCCTTTCCAGGTTATGGGGCTGGCGGGTCAGGAGGAGATCTTAATGTGTATATAAACACATACGCATGTTGGGTACACAGATCCGAGTATCGAATACCTCTCTGTTCGTACCTGGGGGAGGCCTTCCCCTTGTCATGCGTTGAGCACAGGCCACCCAAGGTGAGATGGATTCCCCCTCCATCCGGACAGAAACTTGGGGGAACTTGGCTCATATTCAGGGGCCAGTCGGTCGGACGGAACTATCTGGGTTGAACAGCGTCGTCATGAAATGGTGACACCCAGGTCGAACGAAGAACTTGCACCATTCTCAGCTTTCAGGAGTTGGCGAGAAACGAGGAAAATCAATTTGATGTGACGGTTCAGATGACCATGTAATATGTAGCTAGCCGTGCGGCACACATAACAGGAAGCACGAGAAGGTGCGGGTGTGAAGTCCCGTTGTTCCCACATTCTGTACTACAGATGTGCTCCTGGTAATGTGGGAACCCTGTCTCTTCCCACAGAAACAGAGAAACACAGGGACTGGCAATGGGAGGCCAAGAAGTAAGCAATCCCCATTCTTCGGAGGAAAGCCATCGGTCATAATCACCATGTACGAAGGCAAGAGGGCAATAAGTGGTCCTGACAAGGTCATTCCCACCTTCACTCGAGGTACACTGGTGGGTGACTGGCGCTGTACTCGATACGTCCTCCCCACACATTGGCGACCACAATTGTTTGACCCGGTGAATGTCCCCGCGGTTCTTGAGCTTATGCCTATCGAGAATGGTCTTCGACCCAGGGACCTAAGAATTCTCGGGTTTAGGATGGCCATCCCTGATATCCCCGTCAGCCTTGTTGGTGGACAAGGCCATGGACACTGCGGTATAGCTACATCGTACTTGGTGTTCAAGGACAAAGACACTGGGGCCAACATATATAGATTCCAGTACCCAGCTCGACGGGAGTAGAAAACGGAACATATACTTACTAGTAAGTTGGGAAGACTTCTTTCAAGTTCCGACAAAAGTTGCGTCTCGATATCCAAGTTTGTTCACTCCCACCAGGCATAACGATACAGTGTAGCATTGGGCTGGATCAAACATGCCCGTCACACAACACCACAATGGTTTGGAAGTTGTCCCTTGCTGGATCAATGGAAAACCTATCCCACTCGACACCAGTCGCCTGATCGAGGTCCATTCATCGGCTCAGGGGAAGCTCGTCCACTATGCGCAGGGAGCCTCCGTCAACGATGCTACAGCTGCGGTTCAGGCGGCCGCAGACACATTCAGGACTTTCAAACGAGTGCCGCACCAGGACCGCCGGGCATTGCTTTTGAAGGTGGCAGACATCCTCGAAAGCCGCGTCGACGAGCTTGCCCGCTACCAAATCGAAGAGACATCCTGCCCAGAATCCTGGGCCAAATTCAACGTCATCCTCGCCGCCAGGGCTATCAGAGAGATCGCCGCGAATATCACCATCGCCTGTACGGGGGAGATGCCGCCGCCGGAGACTGCAGAGACTTTTTGTCTTGTCTATAAGCAAGCGGTGGGCCCAGTCCTAAGTATTGCCCCCTGGAACGGCAGCATCATCTTATCGGCGAGGGCGCTGGCAGCTCCCCTGGCTGCGGGCTGTACGGTCGTCTTCAAAGCGTCAGAGTTGAGCCCGCGTGTCCACCATGGCGTCGTCGAAGCCTTCCTGGCCGCGGGTCTCCCAGCGGGCAGTGTGAACCAGATCCAGGCCAACCGCGAAGACGCTAGCCGCATTACCGAGACCATCATCGCACACCCAGCCATTCGCAAGGTGGAATTCATCGGTAGCGCAGCTGTCGGGCGCATTATTGGCCAGCTAGCGTCCAAGTACCTCAAGCCGGTCTTGATGGAACTCGGCGGCAAGGCTCCTGCTATTGTTCTGAAGGACGCGGATCTGAAAAAGGCTGCGACACTTTGTGCCCAGGGGGCGACTATGCACCACGGCCAGATCTGCATGTCGACTGAGCGCATCATTGTCGTTCAAGACGTGGCGGATGAGTTCATCGATTGTCTGCGCGGTGCAGTTGCAGGCCTCCAAGGTAACGCCGGGTTCGCCGTTACAAAAGCCATGGCGCAAAAGGCCCATAAGTTGCTCTCTGACGCCACGGATCAAGGGGCGACGTATCTGATCGGCGACAATAAGTGGCGCGGTGACAGCGGTGCTGCGCTTGAGCCAACATTCCTCACCAACGTCCAGCCTGGAAACCCCATCTATGACCTCGAAACCTTTGGTCCTTCGGCCACAGTATTCATCGCGGCAGACGAAGATGACGCCATCAGGATAGCAAACGACAGCTCGTATGGTCTCACGGGGTCCATCCACACGCGGGATGTCTTGAAAGGTCTTAGGCTGGCCAAAGAGTTGGAAGTCGGACTGGTTGCCCTGAACAGCCTGACACTATATGATGAGGCCTCGGTCCCTCTAGGCGGGACGAAAGGGAGTGGCTGGGGCAGGAACAACAGCAGATATGCCGTGGAGGAGTTTCTGATCTCGAAAACAGTGGCGGTGGCCGCAGATGTTGGAAGTCCTATCTTTGGGGCGAGTTGAGAGGACGAAGCTCTACAGAATGTAAGGGCATGTAGAAGTCTGGTATTAGTTCCTCTGGAGTGACGTCAATTCCTCGAGATGCGCTTTTTCATCTGCGGTGCTTCTCTCATTTTCCTCTTACCTCTTAGACCAGAGAGCTCCCTTAAACGACAAGAATAATCACCAGCAGACCTGCAAAGGGCCCGACGACATACGATCAATGAATCTGGCCAAGTCGGGGTACGAGGTACACTGACCCACGACGCCCCTGCGTGGCTGTTCTTCTTACAAACACTTACAGTAGTGAGCATCACTATTGGCCATCCAGCCTCATTTCACTGATCAGACTTTTCTTTTAGGGACCCGCTCCTCCCAATACTGCAAAGTGCCCAGCAGGAAGATGCCCCGACAATTCCCCCTACGCCTCCCCATCGCCATCCCTTGCCGTCTCTGGAGATCTGGGGCTTGTGGGCTTATCGAGCCACCAATCTCCAAGCGAAGACTGGGCCCTCCACATGGGGAAGAAGCCTATCCTGGGTGGCCTGGAGGCCTCAAACTTGGCATCGAGTGCCTTGACCTGCGTCCCCATGAGCCTCGGATACCTCTAACGAGCTTGGCTGCCCTCCGTTGCCTCTTCCTTTGGGGTGAAGGTTTCAAAAGATGGAAAGGACAACCAAGCGGGAGGCTTTGCCCTCGGTATAGTCACCCTCCCCCCTCCGGCCCAGATCTTCCCAATTCTTTTCTCTGACTCTTCAATATCAAGTCAGAAAAATAACCACATGCCAACCTGTGCCTTGCCTGAAGGACAACTTACATACACCCCATGTGCACTTGGCCGTCTCCCTGAGTAAGAAAATCCGCTGTCATAGACCATGGATGCGCCCACGCCTAAATCGACAAAGTCTCGGAAGCGAGACACGGATGAAAGCCGAGCGGAGAGAAAGAGGATCCAGGACCGTTTAGCCCAACGGGCCACGCGTGAGAGGACCAAGAACCGCATCGCCTATCTCGAGCAGCGGCTCAGCAGCCTCGAGGCCGGCGACAAGGACGGCGAGATCACAAACCTCACGCGCATCATCGACAACCTCCGCAATGATAATAATCGCCTTCGGAATGCCTTGGTCAAGATGCGCACCGTCATCGACCAGGCCGTGCTGGGCGCCGACTCCAGTGAAGCTCAAACAACAGAGACGAAGCCGTCCGTGCCTGCTGCTGATCAGACACCATTCCCAGCATCTACCCCGGCTACAACGTTTGGCGACCCAACTGCTACCTTTCGTCACACTTCCGTCTCGTCGACAGACACCTCAGAGGCCACCGAGGTGATCAACGGCCACAACCTAGGCCTCAACGTAGACGTGCCACAACCAGATGGGATGGGCTCCTTGGCCGGCCTCGAGGACTTTTTCGACATGAGTTCAAACTCTTTGCTCGAAATGTTCGAGATGGGCAGTACTACGGGTTTCAGCGGCTGGCAGCCACAGACTCCCTCGCCCTTCGACTACCGCTTTCCCTCGTCCGACGCCGTGGTGAAAGTCGCGCCGGACGTGGACAAGTGGCACGTATCCAACGGCGCCTTTATCTCTTGCCTCGACAGTGTCAAACAACAGACGGCATCGACCGCCACCCTCGATATGCACGTGCCCTTCAAGGCGGCCATCTGGGGCTGGGAGAATGCCGGACCCGAAGCTCAGCACCCTGTGTGGAATGCGCTGCGGCAGGTTGACCAAAGGGTGTTTGGCACATGGACCTCCAAGGCGCAACGAATCGCCCTGATGTATGTCTGCCAGACACTGATCCAATACCGAGAAAATCCAACTCGAGAAAACTTGGATCGGGTGCCTGTCTTTCTACGCCCGAGGTATGGCCTTTTTTTGTTCCTCGGACAACAGGGCTGCTTGCTAACACGTTGACCCAGACCGTCACAGGAAAAAGTCCAGCATCCAGCAGTCATTGATTTTCTCATATGGTTAGTCTTTATTCCCATCTACCCGCCGCGCTTTGGTTCTTTTCTCGAAAGGGCATCGCTACAACCAACAAAAACCTTCACTCCACCCTACTAACCAACGAACAGGCCAGGCTTACGCGACCGCCTTGTCTTCGAACACAAGAAATACACCTCGACCGGTGACTTCTCGGCCGCCTTTGTAGAGAACTTCAACTTCTACTGGCCCTACTCGGACCGCGACATCTTCGCCTACAACCCGATGCAGAACCGGTACGAGGTTTCCAAGATCTTCCTCGAGTACGCATACAACTTCAAGAACTGGACCATGAAGCCGGGCTTCTTCAAAAAGTTCCCCGAGATGCAACACGACATTGCCGCCTTTGAGGGCACCATGGACTTTCCAAAAGTGAGCTGGTCAAGATGAGCTCACCGACTCCACCGTTAGATGGTTAGTTGGACGTGGATAGGAACTAGACGACGGGTGGTCAACCCCAATACCCTGTGTTGATGTTCATGTTTATGTTCGTGGGTTAAAGGGTTCAGCTCGTCACCACTATCATCTCCAAGAAACCGCGCGTCCTGAGGTCACCGATAAGGTGTTGGACAGCTTTGCCGCGGCCTTATGAGGGAGGCATTACAGGCGCTCGTTCGCACTCACCTCGCGAATTTACGGAGCAGCTCTAGAGACGAAAGAGTCTCTTCGCTACAAAAAAGACGCAATTCAAAGGCTCAACACATGCATGATCTACATGACCGAGATTTCGAGATATTTCTAGTACGTATTCTCGTTGATGGTGAAGCCTCTAGAATGGCACCAGAGTTAGCACAACACAAATGTCAAGTTGGGGGACTGCTTGATGCGCGGGATTGACATACCCATCAATGACAAGGTTGTGTCCCACCACCAAACTCATGCGTGGGAGACTGAGCAGCACCACCACGTCGCCAATCTCGTCAAAGGTGGCTTTCCGGCCCTGCCGTGCTTCATACTCCTCCCAGGCCTTGCCCGCGAGCTGGCCATTACCCTGGGCCATGAAGGGGTCGAGGAGCTTGGTCAGGAGGAAGCCGGGCGAGACGGCGTTGATGCGGATATCATGCTTGCGTGCCTCGAGTGCGGCCTGGAGTTTGGGAAGAACAGGGCATGATGTTAGTTTGACCAGAACGGGACAAACATAGGAGGAAAATCAAGGGAACAATGGTAGTGAACTTACGGCTTTTGTAATGCCCATGACGGCATGTTTCGACGCCGAGTATCCCGTCGTGCCAGCGCCGGCTTGGATAGAATTGACAGATGCGCAATTGACGATGGAGCCGCGCTGACGAGGTCGGCCTTGTTCGCTGTTGTTTGTTTGCCATACCTCAGCCACCGTTTCTCCGGGTCTCGTCGGAGAATTCTAACGTTGTTGAGAACTTACACTTCGATCGACTCCTGCTTCATCATCTGCCTCAACTCGTGCTTGTTGCAGAGAAACACGCCGACCGTGTTGACCTCGATGACCCGTTTCCACTGCTCCGTGTCAATGTCCCACGTCTCGGCCAGGGGACCGACAATGCCTGCGAAGTTTCTGTGCGGGCCTCTTTCTGTCAGAAATTGAAAAATATTCTTGTCGAGTTTTGGACTAGAGATAGAGACTGGGCAAAGAAACAGAGGGTCTCTTGAGAGATGTAGTAGGTAGGGAGGTAGTATGTACTGACGCTGCATAGTCGATGCGGCCAAATTCCTTGACTGCTTCGCTGACGGCGCGCTCCACATCTTCCTCCTTGGTCACGTCGGCACGGATGCACAGGACCTGTTTGTGATGATCGGGTGAGTTCTCAGGACGTGATAATTCTATATCATGCTCCCCTTTGCAAGTTTCCGTCTTTGTTTTCTGCGCAAAAAATGAACCCCGTGGAAACTATGTGGCCCTCTTACCTTGGCACCGTATTTCTCGACGGCCTTCTTGCCCTCCTCAAACGTCGCCTCGTCCTGGATGTCGACTAGGCATACCCCTTTGGCGCCCTCCTTTGCGAACGACACCCCAATGGCGTTGCCTAGCCCGCGTGCACCGCCGGTGACGAATGCAATGCCCGGGGCAATGGGTCCTGAGCGAAAGGCCATATTTATTTCTTTTGGTTGCCGCGGCACAGATATTGGATGGAGCGGGTTATGTGTGTATGATCCCAAAGTATCGGCTGGCTTGGGAGAGGACCTGTCTTATAGAACGGTCGTATTTGACGATCCCGGTAGAAAACGAGCTAAATGCTCGTGATACTGTTGATGTCGGTGATGGTCGACCAATGATTTGGCCGAAATATCGTCAATAACAAGCCTGAGGCTGAACCGCGGGCCAGTAGCTAGTATTCTCTTTTCTTGAGTATTCCTCACCCACAAACATCCGACTCACCAAGCAATGACTTGCCTTTTCTTCTGACAGCGTGCGGCATGACACGTCCATCACCCTCTTATTATACCCTAGGTTCGACGGGACAGGATTGGGTACAACTCTTGTTGCGTTGCTTTCCCGCTTGCCCTCGTCTTGATCCCCGCTTTTCTCCACAGACTTGCGCTGCGTACCGAGTTTCTTTGTAAGTAGCACGACGGCTTGAACCTCGGGTTGCGGAGCTTGGTTATTCGTGTGTGGGAGGCCCATGTTGTGGCCTTCCCGTGCTGGCCCATCAAAACCTGTCTGATTGAACAAACCCAGGCAAGTGGCGTGGACTGGCGACGTCGTAAGTCAGAAAATCCTGAATCATGACACCTTCTTCAGCGCGCTGTGCAAACATATGGAGCTCGCACACTTGTTGGACCCTGGTGTGGGGCAGTCAACCTGGAATAGAGGAGGATTCCCCAATGTCTCGCCTCCAAGGAGCATTCTGTGAATGCACATATAGAGTGGTGATTGCAGGTCGTTGTTGGAAATCGATCTGACTCGTCACCTTACCTGAAACCGTCGTGATTCCTCAACCCCATCTTCCTTCTCTGTCTTCAACATGGTGAGCGAACTCGGGTACAAGGTCGAGCCACAATGGCATTCGAAACCAAATTTCATTCGAGTCATTTGTGTTGGCGCCGGTGCGGCAGGCCTGTTGGTGGCGTACAAAATGAAGAAAAATTTCAAGAACTACGAACTCGTCTGCTATGAGAAGTTCGTGCTCACCTATCAATCATCCCCGGGAATGTCAGCTAATGACTCCAAAGGAACTCCGGAATTGGTGGAACATGGTTTGAGAATCGATATCCAGGTTGCGCTTGTGATGTTCCCGCACACGCCTATACCTATTCATTCGAACCGAATCCAGAATGGTCGACTTTTTACGCCTATGCGCCCGAGATCAAGCAGTATTTCGAGAAATTTGCCGACAAGTATGATCTCCACCCGAACATAAAGCTGAATTCCAAGGTTCTGTCGGCAACCTGGGTGGAGGACAAAGGCATATGTCAGTCCACAGGACACCGCCATGATGACCCCAGAGACTGACCTTGGGTAGACGAGGTTGAAGTTGACGTCGAGGGTCGTAAGATCAACGACTGGTGCCATGTCATCATCAACGGCACCGGCTTCCTCAACGATTGGAAGTGTGAGTCTGTCTCATCCCTCCAATAGATGCGAAATATTGACCGTTCGGCAGGGCCAAAGATCGAAGGACTACATGACTTCAAGGGAAAGCTTCTTCATAGCGCGAACTGGGACTCTTGTAGGCCTCACTTCTGCCGTCCGCCCCTGTGGTGACTGACATCTGGCAGCGGTTGATTATACGGACAAGACAGTCGCCGTCATTGGGACGGGGTCGTCTGCCATCCAAATTGTGCCCCAGGTGCAGAAGAAAGCAAAACACCTGACGACCTTCATGAGGTCTGTGACATGGATTTCTCCACCCGTCGGAGGCCAAGTTCTCGAAGAGGACAAGAGCCACTCGTCGGACTCGAAGCAGGCCCAGGCGCCTCAAGCACAGTACTGGTATACAGAGGAGGACAAGAAGAAATTCCGCGAAGACCCCCAAGCCTTGCTCGAATACCGAAGGAAACTCGAATCTAGTGTTAACAACCTGTTCGATATGTTCATCGCTGGATCGGAGACGTCGCAGTGGGCCGAGAAGCTGATGCGCGAGGAAATGCATCGGCGGATCGGACCAGGGCACGAGGAGTTGAAGGAGAAGTTGATTCCAAAATGGGCGCCGGGCTGTATGTTGAACATCGATTCCTTTGGTGGAGCGGGCACTAAACATTGAACAGGTCGAAGGATTACTCCCGGTGATGGTTATCTTGAGGCATTAGTCAAAGACAGTGAGCATACCAAATGTATCATTGACATGGAACCGGCTAACGAAAACCACAGATGTGACACCCGTCCATAATGAGATCGTCAAGGTCGTCCCTGAAGGATTGATCGACGATGCTGGACGACTGCACAAGGTCGACATTCTTGTTTGCGCCACAGGTTTCAACCTTGCGTTCGCGCCCCCATTCAAAGTCCTCGGAGTCAACGGTGTCAGTATGGCGGATGAGTTCAACCCTGAACCACAGGTTTATCTCGCTCTTACGGTGCCGAAATTCCCCAACTATTTCGTTGTCAATGGTGTCCGAGGCAACTGGGCGGCTGGCACAGCTCTCCCCTCGCATGAAGTCCAAGTCGAATATATCCTGCAATGCATGAAGAGGATGCAGGAGGAGAACATCCGAGCCCTCGAGGTTAAGATGGAGCCAGTAAAGCAACTGTACGAGCATATTGACGAATGGCACAAAGGCTCTGTCTGGAACAGCGACTGCAAGAGGTAAATTTATAAACCCCCTTTTGGTCAGATGCGCCGACTAACGAGGACAGTTGGTACAAAAACAACATCGTCGGTGGTAAGCTGTGGATTTGGGGTGGCTCGGTACGTCGAAGGCATCACTCGTGAGGGACAAAGCTGATCTCAATAGGCACTCCATTACATGAAAACCATCAAGTTTGTCCGCTGGGAGCATTATGATTTTCGCTATCGCAACAATAATATGTGGTCCTTCCTCGGCAACGGACGTGTAGAGGCTGAAGTTTTGAAAGATCTTTCAAGATTAGCACCATACATGAGAAACGAGGACGTACCGTGGACGATAGACTGAGGAGCCACGGTGCAGCATGTACCTAGAGATGCAGGCGGGATCTCAGTAATGTCATAAAGTTAGACCAATCGAATGAAAAGGCTGAGTGCACACTTCATGAAAGCATAATGTACAGTGCCCAGCCGATCCATGAATCCAGAATATCCGTGCTGTGGGCCATATGACAATCTGAACATTAGGGGACGCCTACCTATTCCAAGAAGTGTGGGGGAGAGACGATCTTGCCTCGGCAGTCCATGAATCAGTACATTCTTCGTCAGTGATTGACGGTGCGTTGCATTACTGTGTTCGTGCATATATAGCCGTGTCTAAAGCGCAACGTCTCACTATCTCCAAACAGGAAAGTCGCTCAGTCTTCCTCTAGCAGATCAACAGTCTCTTAAAGTCAGCGGAAAGCTCACTTGACAGCATGAAGGCGGCTAGATATCACGGGCGTCGCGATTTGAGGGTCGAGGATGTAGATGTCCCACAAATCGTTGACGGCCAAGTTCTGATCCAAATCGAATGGTGTGGCATATGTGGCTCTGATTTGCACGAATATCTGGTCGGTAAGTTGTGGTGTCTCAGAGACTACCCTCGAGACCATAGCTGAAGAATCGGCAGGACCGGGCATTATCCCTCAGAAGGATGCACCACATCCACTGACAGGGGCTGTGATGCCTGTGACGATGGGTCACGAATTTTGCGGTCGAGTGACCAAGGTTGGCCCAAAGAGCAAATTCCAGATCGGACAGCCTGTCATGGTTGATCCACGAGTTTTTTGTTCCAACTGTCATTCATGTAACATCGGGGACACGAATATTTGCAATAGTTGGGGATTTTTGGGGCTGCAGTCACCCGATGGGGGAGGTTTCTCGGAATACGTCGCAGTCAAAGAGGAAATGTGCCATGCCCTACCCGATTCAATCCCCTTGTCTGAAGCTGCCTTGATTGAGCCCTTGACGGTCGCTAGGCATGCGACCAAAAAATCTGGTTTCGACGACTATCGGGACAAGACCATCCTCGTCCTTGGCGGTGGACCAGTCGGATTGGCTTTAATCTTTGTGCTGAGGGCCTCTGGGTTTGGTAAACTCATCGTGAGCGAGCCAACAAGCCAGCGGCAAGAACAGGCAGCAAAGCTCGTCGACGTGGTGTTAAATCCCAGGGAAATCAGCGTGCCTGAGAAATGCCGTGAGTTAACGAGTGGCAAGGGAGTGGACGTTGTTTTCGATTGTGCAGGGATCATGCCAGGTCTAAAAGATGGTATGGATGCCCTTCGGCGCGGTGGGACATATGTTAACGTCGCTGGTTGGGAGAGAGAAGTAAAGTGACTCCCTTCCGTCAACGAGCTTTAAACATCTGACCAGTCTTTGCAGTGTGTTGTGCCCATGGAGCATTTCATGTTGAAGGAAATCATCTTCCGGGCCTCAATGAGTTATACAGAAGAAGATTTCAAGCAGACTGTGGACGAATTCGTGGCTGGTAAAGGATTAAGCCCGAGATATGCGGGACCAGATCACTGACTTGAAGTAGGAAAATTCGAGGGATTCGAGAAACTGGTTACGGCGAGAATAGCGTTGGACGACATTGTGAAGAAAGGATTTGAGGAATTAGTCAACCACAAAGATGACCATGTCAAGATCCTGGTGACTCCCATGAAGGAGCTGTTGGTCCAATGAAAGGGTGATTGATAACAGGGAGAGTTGTGAGCTTGAAGAATAGAGACCACAATGTACTGTTGATCACGTGAAATTATGATTAGTCATAACTGCGCCGTTGCCACGGGAAGGGCCGAGGCGGTGACCCACTGGCGCTTGGGGACAATTTTTGTTTTCTGGCAGCCCAAATTTTGGGCTCCGAAAGACAACATAATCAACATCCTCAGCCGTCGCTTTCTCGCGTCCTTCCTTGTCAGTCGTCTTCCTACCTCGATGGACGCCCATGCGCATCTCCTTTCGCTTGGTTGGGCAGGACCCGGCCACTCCCTCGACTCGAGACCATACAAACAAAAAGGGCATCGAGGCCTCGCTTATGATCCCGCAAAAGTCGGCAACAATGGTGTCGGTCTTGTCAAGCCTCTCCTGATATCACAAAGAAAAGGGCGATTCGGCGTTGGCAAGAAGGCGCATGAGCCACAGGCCGGAAATCAGTGGTGGCTGAAAGGATTCGAGAATGCATTGGGGAATATTGGCAAGAGTGAAAGTGAGAGGAGCAGTGGCACAACGACCCCAGTTGCATATGGCCATGGCATCGGAAAACACGGTGGGCTTTATAGCTTCTTCGTCAAGGGACAAGAGATGGAAGGCACAATTGGTAAAGTCGGCGAGTTCACGCGAGCTTCGAAGAAGAGGAAGAGTGATGCGCTTAATGATGGAGAACAGGATGATACTGAAGAATCCACGTCGTTGAAGAAGAAGAGAGAGCCTGCGACAGAATTTGAAGAGGCTGGCGCATATTTTGCGTTGCGTGACAAAGACGAGAAGCGTGGCCAGCGTGTGCAAAGGCAGGACCCGGTTGTTGAGTTCGAGCAAGTCGGCGAATACCTTCAAGCAAGGCTTCAGAAGAGACAAAAGAAGCGGAAATCAAAAGTTGGGCCTGGGGCTACAGATCTCGACACACCAGTCGAAGTTGACAACGAGGAGCCGTCAACTCCGAACAAAGTAGAGTCGAAGGAAGAGAGACAGGAACGGCGGCGACGACGAAAAGAGAAAAGGGACCAGAAGCGAAAGGCGTTGTTTGATCTGGAGAACCAACGACAAAACGTCTCACCAGCCAATTCTATTGCTAAAGATTCGGACGGCACAGCTGATCGGAGGACACAGCGCAGGCGGGGGAAAGCACAAGCTTTACCAAGTCATCAGATAGCTGAGGGCGATTTGTGACACGCTGCTTTGCATGAGTCAACTTGTGTGGTTACCAATCTCTCCAGCTTCTCTGAACTCGATCTTCGATGTAATCGTAAGACACGAGACTGATCCATCCCTGTAGCGAATGAATTTGTTGACACTCGATGATTCGACTCCGCCACGGTGATGCTCTTCAAATGAAGAGATGCGTATAAGCGAGCACATGCGCGCAGCTCTAACATAGGATGATTTTCACATCTGGTGCAAGTTGATTGACAATTCGATGTGGGACTTCCAACGCCATCCTGCATGCGCGACGCGGCAAACGTTTTCAACTAACTTAGTCTCGTCTGGGGGACCCCAAATATCTTTGTATCCGCAACTATTTACATCGCACATCATCTCAAGAAGTTGAGGTTGTCTTCTCCTTCAGCCCTTTGACAAACTGCGTTCAATCTCGTCTATCAGGGCGCACTGAACACTCAGCGCCATCGCCCTCCTATGGTTGCCGATACCCGCAGTCTCCAGGGCTTCCCAAACCATTCTCTTCCCTGCTCTTACCACCGGTTGGGGCTGAGAAGACATCGTGAGCCCAAGAAGATCTGGGAATGGCCGAAAGAAGTCATTATGTTGAGGCTGTCGGGCCTGCGATTGGATCGGTCACGCTTGCTTGAAGCCCAACTCCAGCATTTTCGCCGTCCTACACCAGCGCCCGCAATAGCACTCCTACGTCTACAGGTGCCATGTTGTCTCTGCGCCTGGACGATAAGATCAAGTGACTCTTCAGGCTACGAACCATCCTTCACCACATCATTGTACCACTATAATGCGGCTCTCTAGAAATTCAAGGCAACAAATGGCGACTTTCCCCTTCACCACCAAAAGAAGTTTTAAGCCATAAAGGCCGCACGCATTGTATAATGCTGCAATCGCAAGCTGGTGCAAATAGGCCTGTCCGGCATATATACGATGCGGAGGCTTCGACAGCTCTACATATCCAAAGCGCCGGGCGCATGGGACAGACTGGTGTAGCTCTCAGACCTTGCTGACCTGGACAGCGCCGTTCTCGACAGCTGAGACCTAACTGATAGAATGAGGTTCGTAGTGCAACACGTGAAAGACCAGCTGGAACTCCAGTTTCTGGCAGGTTCTGAATGGAAATCTGACACTCGGTTTAGTTCCTGGCTACCGGAGTTCGATGGCCCTCGGAAAGAGATCGACTATGAGAACGAGAACATACCATATCTCAAGCGCCAGGAAAGGATTGGAAAAGACGATGACTGGAAAGAGGTTTTTCTAGTTGACCCGGATGACAACGACAGTTTTCAGTTCCCGGTCGACCAGTGCAAGAACTTTTTGGACGGCACGACTGGAATTTCCATTCGACCTGATGATGCAGAAGATGGGAGCACCCCATATTATAATGCGTGGCTGGACGACCGCAGCCGTGAGGGTGGCGCAAGAGTGTATCGCAATCCCTTCACAGCAGAGGAGCTCAAAAAGAAACTATTAAAGTCGGTCAGTTGCTTCAATCTTTCCGGCGTTGGCAGCCTTGATTTAACAGTTTCTAGCGATATCGACCTAAAACGCCCGGCATATGGGCTCAAGTCTTCAAAGCTGTGGTGCGAGCAAATGCTTCAGCGCTTGATAGATCTGCCGCTGCAAATCACGCGAGTGATCCAAAGACTATAAATACAAACACCGTGGTTCGGGCCTCGACAGGAACATCGTTCGCGACCTGTCTGCAGCCGGTAGGTGAAACGATACCGAATGTGCGCCACCTTGCACGTACCTGGAGGGTCGGTTTGAGATGGGGATCAACGCTAGACAACGAGCCAGATGCAGCAAGGCGGTTGCTATTCATCACGGACTTGGATTCGGAAACCGCCACTGTTCTTATGCAAACCGCATCAAACCATCAAACCAGGCCTCTCCGTCACGCTCTTCTCGACCACCTTACTAGCAACGATGCTCACATCAGTGTGAAGGTCCCAGTAAGTCCGCATCACTTGAAGAGAAGCTGCCGCGTTTTGAAACTGAGTGGTTGTTCTATAGTCAAAATCTCCTTCTACCTTTGAACTGGCATTCAGCATACCGTTTTATGCCTGGAGAGACACTTACCGCGAAGACCACCGCAAATGGGCACACAGTAGAGAACCTTTGCGAGAGACAGTGGATGTGTCCTTTCTCAATCAGCATCATGGAGAAGTCCTCTGCAAAGCGGTACTTACGGCTATGATATCCGGGTCTGACATTGAGCATTGGACTGCCTACCTCTTCGCCGATACCTACTTTGATGCCCAAGATGCCGGCAGAGAAACCGTGCTCGAGTACAGGAAGGATAAGGAGTCTGAGGAGGGAATGAACGCAGACCCTTTGACCTACGGCGAAATCGATGCTGATCTTCCATTCTGGGACCCAAGAAAATACTTCTTGATCATGGCCAGATACAGACTTCAGCAAGTAGCAAAAGAATGGACCCAGGTGGTGGCGAGATTCGGCACAAGCTTTGCTGACTTCCAGAAGGTACAGTCCCTTCTACTTGTCCTAATCTGAAAGCCACCGATCGGTTGCAGCTGTAGGTGACGACAACGTCACCAGCGCTGTGTCTGCTCAGGACGCCGGTCACCCAGCTGCACCGGTATTCTGTTATTGTGTCTTTTTTGACTGACTTGTTCGCCAGTCACACGGCGGCTTCTTGTCACAACCGACGCATTGCCGATCCCCCCAGGAGAAAGTAGACCACCGCGACCAGCTTCTGCGTAACTATGACTGGGTCATGCGAACGAGCGGGATATCAATGGACTTGGAGGAGACGTTGGCGGCGACGGTGGATGCAATTGCAGCCATGCTCAAACATGCTGCTTTCTTCGGAGAAGAGACGGGCCTATTGTCTGAGATCGAAGCCCTCTTTGATCTTTTTAAGCGACAGCAGAAGAAGATTGAACGACTTTGTGTCAAGTGCAAAGCACTTTCTAAGAAGGTAAGGCGAGCCTCTCTCGCTGTCCGGGAAACTACTTGCGGGCTCACTCATCGCTAATCCCGACAATAACTTACAGCTTGCACTTCGTCTCAACCTCGAGGCTGTCAACGCCGGCAGAATACAGAACCAACACGGAATCGACAATCACAACCTCTCACGGATCACGTTGGTTAGTTTGCCTTTTACGTTCAATGGCATTGGCATAGGAATATATTTCTGACATCTATTTTACTACAACAGGTGTATGTAACTCCGTTGATACTCGCGACCAGTACCCTTTCGATACAAACGAATGCCCTCCGCCATGTTCCATCCTTGATTCCTTGGCTGCTTTTGATGTTCTGCATCTACTATTTGCTGGTATTTGCGGTGCATACAACAGTCTTCTCTCGTTGGCATCTTGTGTCGACTACGATTAAACAACATTGGCGCCACGCTCGGCGTCAAATAACGGAGTCAAACGGTCCAATTCTTCCTGTATAGAATCCAGGGGTACTTTCTCACTCTCTTTTCTCGGGGTCCTACACTTACAGGCTGAGAGAATAACTTGAAGTTACCCTGGCCATTACTCTTCTGTGCCGCTTGTCCCTAGACTCAGTGGGAAACACAGGGCCCCTCATCACGAGCAAGATCTAGTGGACGGGACATTGGGCATTCATGGATGGGCAGGAGATCGGTCCCGGTCTAGCCTGTGAGATATGGTCGTGTGAAACGGCCCATCTTAATCATCACCAAGCTGTACTAAATATCATGTCATATTAGGGAGACACAACAATCACTTTTGCTTACAGTCCATTTCCTGTCTACAGGTTTGGACATGATTCTGCGGTACGTGTCTACATAGGGAATTTTGGTGGTATTTATTTCAAATTAGTCCTAGTTGATAATAACATGAATACTTACCCGATGTGGGACGCCCCGTCGCCGGCCGTCGTGGCACCCTCCCGTGGCACCCATAAATTTAATAATGATATTCCCTGTCGATCTCAATCAATTGTTTCATGCTCTTTTCCGCAAATCGATAATTTTGTCTTTGGGCGTCAGCGTGTTGGGTGCATCGTGGTCTGTGAGCTTTTTGTTCTGGTTCGCATTCTTTCACTGTTGGGCGTTGTTCTTTTGTGTTTGCTTCCTATCACTGCTGGACAGCTGGCCGGCTTAGAGAAACCTGCTTCGCTCCCTTGTTGTCCCTTCGTTGTTCTCCCGCGCTTCGACGCCTTGACGCTGGTATGCGCCAGGACGTAGCCTGGGATCTCTCTGCCGCAACTCACCTTGCGTATATGTTTTGTCATAGAAAGGAAAATGGTCAGTATACAGGGTTGACGGTTGACGGCGTCAACCCTTCATGGTCGACGAAAAGTACCTGCATTGACTTGTTTGCAAGTAGCCACCGTCCAAAACCAAGAAGAAGACCAATGTCGTCTTTGTCTACACCTGCTGCCGGTGTGGACAGACCCCCATCGGCATCCAGAAACACCACTGCCCTGACTGTCACCACACCCGCTGCAGTAACTGCAAATGCGAAAAAGTTGTCCAGCGATAACCCGAGAGCCTCGATGCAACAGACTGTTTTCCACACAGCACCTTTTTCGCCACTGTCTTCCAGCTGACCGGTCGGTGACGCGCCCTCTATACGCGATTCACTACCATTTTCCCCGGGACAAGCAAGAGCAGGTAAAGGACAAGACACTGCAGCGGTATTAGGGTAGTTGAGGACACAACCAAGAGCAGGAATGAACGACTACCTATCATGAGGGAAGCAATTTCATCTCGGGTCTTTTTGTTGTGATGGTTGCCGCCAATGTTTCTTGATGAATTGAGTCAGACACCTTTGGGTGCTTCGTGTTTTGGCAAATGCAATCTGGGTCGGAAACATTGGATTTTTAAAAGACTTGGACTTGGGGAGTTCATGTAGGATGGCTTTTGACAACTGTGGGAGGGGTGGAATTCTGAGGCCAACAATTAGTCTGGTCATGTTGTTAGAATCCTCTCGAGGGGGTCTGACTTCATCTTGAGTCCTGACTTGAGGTAACAAACGTGCAGACGACTTGTCATC